AACTCAAAATCCCAGACCACTGTCTAATAAACAAAGCTAGAATCTATGTACATTTTATAATTTTGTAGATTCCTTTTACAAATGTTGTTAGTCATGTACACGAATTGCCATATATTGATATGCACATTTTAAGTATAGTTAATGATTATTTAAAATTAAAATACGAAAAATGAAAGTTTTATCGTACCTATATTGAAACAAAAGTAGTACAAAATGCTAGATCCCACGACTTGCGATACTCCTAATTTATTTATTTTGTAAAAAATGTCTATGACGAAAAAAATGTGGAAACAAATTTATCAAAAATCTTATGGATTTATTTAAAGTTTAGACCATCAAAAATTCTTCTGCTGACATATAACTTTATTTTATTAAATTTGATTTACAATTATAAGATGCTTCTCAATGACTAGTATGGCTCAATCACTATTAATGATAGCAAGGGAAATATTGGTTAATTTACTGAGAATTCTGCAATAGTTTTATTCCATATTTTAATGTATTGTACTATTTTATATTGCATATAAATCATAGCCCCACTAATAAGCAATAGCTTATACTATTCAGTACCTACTGACCATATATACCGGGGACGTGAAAGGGGGCCAGGTGGTGCGAAATTGCAAATACACCACCTGGTGTTGTTTTAAATTATGTCAGTATAAAAAATATTAGGATTTTATACATTTTTACAATTTTGTATTAATAATAATAGTCTGAGAATCATTTGGTCGTCGTTTATCGACAAAAAACATTTAAAAGATTAAATAGGTTCATTCAAAAATGTATGGATAACACGATGGTGCGGAGTAGTTGACGTGTTGGGCATGGACAGAAGTAATAATAAACTGACTGCAAATCGAATACACCAACCATACATATTAGGGCCATTAGGGCATCTCGTGAAAAATCAAGGGTCAACATAATGCACTTCGTGTGGAGATAATACAGTGAAAACCCTAATGACTGAATGCAGATCGAGTGAAGACGATATAAGAGCACAGTTAATTTCATGGAATCTTTATGAAAATAATCGGCCACGACTAACTACCGGAAATCGTAATTTAATTTCTAAGAAGAACCAAACTAGAGAGTTCTATATACTTGATACGATTAATTTAATTAGTAGCATATTGTATACAACCATTCACATAATAGTAGAATCTCTGAAGTTTCTACGATTAATAATTTTTGAACTACAATAAAAACTGTTCGGGAAGAAACTGTTATTTTACATCTGAATTTTAAATGCCATCGAACTCTAACTCGATTAGGTACTCATAAAAATGTTTGTGGCTGTATGCTAAACTATTATTGTATTTCCAATAAGAAAAACTTACGAAGAACCTTGTATTAAACCAGCTATACAAATTGTATAGTATATAAATCATCTAAAAAAACTAAAATAAGTTCAAATGTTCAAATGTCTATAAATTGTAAAAATCCTTTTTTTTTAACTTACTATAAAGTGTTTTTAGACTTCAAAAAACCAATAAATTCATTTCTACTTTCATAATCTTTAACAAAAACAACGATTTAGTAACTACGGTCAGAGTTGACTTCATATAATAGTATGTTATATAATATTTTATATTAGGTGTGTTGTACCTGAATTTAAAATATCGAATTTCAATTAAAACATTTTTTTTAATACATAGGTAATGGTATTTCCTTGTCAATACATGGGTAATAATTTTACTTAAAACTAATTATAAATAATGCATTAAGGTGTAATTTGTAATTTAAAAAAAAGTAGTAAAATAAGTAGGTATAATATTATATTAAATAATTTACTTTTTAACAAGTACCAAGTTATATTATAATATACTAACATGAAAATAAAAGGCAGGTACATATATTCTTTAAATAATGACAAGATTATAAGAAAATAATTCATTATTATTATTATTAGTATAATTTTCTAAAATTATAGAAGGTATACGCACAAAATTGTTTATTTATTAAAAATTTTAAAAATACTTCAAAATTCAAAATATATTTATAATGTTTTTACATTCATATCACAATATCTAGCTAAGATGTGTTCCTTTTTATAAACTGAAATAGTTTAGACATTATGGCCAATAACAAAATTCAAATATAAAATGTAAGCCATGACCTCGTAATATTGTTACCGTTGTTGTGAGATTGTAACTATGATTAGATGAATTCATTATTTTATAAATCATAAATGATCAAAGAAATAGTATGAGTTAATATTAATAAAAGGTATTAAAAAAAATGTATATTTATAAAATATTAAAAATAAAAATAAAAATAATATTTAACTTAATATTTTAAAATAGTCTACCTATTCAAAATATTACTAGATTATACAATCAATAGTGTACGTTTAGAACACATACTTCTTTAGATATGAAAATAGTGAGGAAAAAATGATTGGCATTGTGTACAACTAAATTACATTTTATAAAATTTACCTATTAAATCCCTTTTGGATGAACATTAAAATAAACTCGAATTTTATTCAGATAGCAAAAAGTGAACGACATTAGCTTATTTTTTTGCTCAATATCAGTAGCATAACTTTTTTTTAATAAACCTTATGCATAGTACAACTTCTTTTGTTGCCTATTTTTTTTTCTAATTTAAAATTAATATTATGTAATATATAAATAATATGCTTTATAATTTATAATTTATAATTTATATTATAATAAACGTATGGGGTGAAAAGGCTAGGTGAAGACATGTTCTGGTGTGAAAAATAAACGCAATTAAAATACTACGCGGTAAAACTATTATTAAGCAATCGGTATTTCAAAACGAATAATTCATCCTATAATCGTGAAAACAACAGGAAGTCATTAAAATTCCCAGACAGAC